CTATGTCTTAATGTGGACTACTATTGCTACAAAGTGGAAGAGGAATAGTTTTGTCCCAATGGAAATATGTCTATGTCAAGATCAAGAGGATACTAATAATTATTCATTTTTTGTTTAAAAAAAGACAAGAAAACATAATTGGAGATGGATATCTACCAAATTGAAGCTAGATTTTAGATCTTGATCACCATAAATACACAGACTAAGTATAGAATTACTGCAAGAACGAATTCGCACTTTAAATTGTTATGAAACACGTGTTCCATTATTCCTTCAGAAATGACTATATTTTTCACACACTACGTATCTTCTCGTCTGCAAACATAAAATCGAAATTCAAAAGCTGTTAAATTGAATTCCGTATATTAATTTCAATTATTAAAGTAGAAAACAATCTCAAGTTTCAAATTTTCGTTATTTAAATTGTTAAAAATTTACTGATATCAGTCTTAAGCAAACTTATTTTATAATGTGAATTATTTTTTAAAAATTAACAGAAAATTTCAAACTTTCGTTTTCTACGTTTAAAAAAAACTATTGGTACCAATTTTAATAAAACATATCTTTCAGTTCTACGTTTAACTAGCTACAATTTATAGAGTTTGTTAGACATAATTGTCATTATGAATGTCGATGAGCTTTTTTTAACATGAAAACACCATCTAATTATCAACATAACATGAAATCAGACATCGAATGAACACAAACTAGTCGTAGTGCAAGAACTTTTACATACAAAAATTAAAAATAAAGAAAAATATATTCAAAAAAAAGACGCGTTTGAAATATGTCCGTTGGTGAGCATCTGCTCTTCACTCACACGCACCATCCAGTCGTCTTACACCCACAATAAATATTGAATTTCTATTATAAATTATGATAAAACCTCTTCAAGTCTTCACTTTGACTTTAATTAAAATCCTTCTTCGCTAAGGCTCAAATTAATGGCCCTGACTCATGCATTATGAGTATTACTTGATCAATAACAAGAAAAACAAACCAACTAGTTACTACCAATCTTGAGTTCGATTACAATTCTTCTTGGCTAGGCTCAAACCAATGATTCTTGCTCGTGTATTATTAGTATTACTTCATCAACAACAAAAAAACACAATCAGCTAGTCAATATCTATTCGAAATATTTAGTTCTCATTCATACAGCTCATCTTATCTCAACTGACAATTATAACTTATTTTATGACTTAGATTACTTTAAAAACTAGTTATTATATGCATTTAATTTTATCTCATATAACACTTGATAATTACTATTTATAGAAAAAGGTTTATATCATTATTTATATCATCTACAGTTTTCTACATATCACATCAATCAAAAACTTCTTTGCTTAAAAGTGCATGTCCTCTATATTTTTTCATCATATTCTTTAAGATACAAACGCATATCCTCAACAAATTTCAGTCATTTTTCTTATAATAAAAATCTTCACTTAACAAAAAACTTCTCTGATCAAAATCTTGCTTTCTCTACATACAACAGTAACTTTTCTTAAAATAAAATAAGTTTTCATTAATATTTTGAAAAACGATTTATATTTTGTATGCTCTCTGATTGTTTGCTTCTATAAAATTAACTATCAAATTCAATCATTTTTTATTTAAAACTAATAAATTTGTCAACTTTAAATCAACCGTTGCATAATTCAAGTTTGAATATAAATGAACCTCGACAAGCTTCATATCACTTCCAAAGTAAATGAAAATAGTTCGAACCAGTACTTTCATATTAGATCGAACAATATGGTCAAAGATTAATTTTTATCTCAATTTCGAATTATATGCCGAACCTAGACATTCATGTTAGAACGACCAAAATGAAATTATTACCTCAATAATAATGACTCTGTAGACCACATTTTTACTGTCATGATTGATAACTGAAAGTTTTTATTGAAGTCTTTCTTAATCAAAATCTGACATAAATGTGTAACTGTGCGGAAGTACTTTTAGCCACATAACAGACTTATATACAAGCATCGCGGTGTGGGGTGTACAGTGTCTCTCAAAGAATCGCGAACCATGTTCGCCTCTCGTTACAAATTGAAGTTGGTATCGGTAATATCTTTGGCCAGACCTGCGCTCGAACCCAAAGTTTATCTTTAGTACTTTGGCCATTTTAACATGAGTGGCCTTACTTCAATTATATTTTTAAATTCAGTGACAATATATATTTAGCTGGGGTCATGTGAGTGCTGATTAAGGGTATGAGTGTTGTTACTAACACGTGCAAGTGAAGGTGTTTGAGAGTGAAGAGAAAAGTCACACCCACATCCATATATGTGCCATTAGATCATTTATATGACTAATCGATCGTTTTTCGTTTCAACTCTATGTATAATTTCGACAAATTCATTCCAAACCTTGAACTTAAAAATGACGAGTTTCAATAATGAATCGATAGACGTCATTTTGGTAGATATTCAAATTTCTAACTGACTTCTAAAAGAGATTCAAAAGATTATTATAATATTTACAAAAGATTGTAACCAAGCTGGTTAGTGAAGAGTATTGCTATCTAGTAAAATGTATTGTCACGGAGGAAAGATAAAAACAATACAACACATCATATGGGCAAGAGAAAATTGAGATTTGCACGGCACAAGATAGTTCCCCTTGAAGACATTCTTCTATAAAAGACATAAGTTATGTTAAGATATGTCTCAAGAATGTATCTATGTCAAACATACGCGATGGCAATTTCTGTACGATCGTTCTTGTACGGTTATATTTTGTATTCTTTCTTTCAAAAAAAAAGATATGTAAATTAATTTATTGAAGAGCACTATCTCGTTTTTATAATTATATGAACAGATTCTTTGACTAAAAGAAATATGAACCAGGAAAATAGGGAACGTAGCCATTCGTCGAAGAATTATTGGTCGAACGTTAATTAGTCGAATGATAAATCGTCGAACGACGTTTCGTCGAATGATTATTCGTCGAATAAATTTTGACCGAATGACTTTTCGTCGAATGATAATTCGTCGAATGACGTTTTGTCGAAAAATATTACATAATTTCTCAAATTACCGCTTGATTTAGAAAATAATAGTAAAACATAGTTGCATTGCAAGTATGAGACTGTTAGCATATAGTTGCGTTGTAAGTATACTCACGATGTAACTATTTTCTTCTCAATTACATTTGATATGAATAACAAAAGTTACAAAAGAGACATATATGTATCACGAAGTCGGGTTAGTTAAAGCTAAAAATGTTCATTTATCCTCGCAGACAAAGAATCGAAAACGAAGTGCATTCGATGTTAGGGAAGTGATGTACATTTGCCTTTATTGATTCGTTATTCTTCGATTCTTTTTAGATCATCTTATTTGATTTTTCTTGAATTATCTTCATTCAATTTAACAGAACATTTGAGTAACATATTTTGGATGACATCTCAACAGCCTGAGTTACTTGTATCTACTGGTCCATCAGTGACTATTAGTTCGTGTTCGAATGTATGTATTTTTTTAAGCGAGTCTCTGCAATCAGCACAAAATGTTGGTACTATTAATTTTTCAAAAACTCAAAAAGGACGTGATCTTCTAATGATGAATGGTTATATAGTTACACTTTAAATAAAGAGACTAAAGTACAACTTTTTTGGAGATGTGAAACTCGCCTTTGTTCCGCAACACTTATCAAAACCAGAAATTTGATTACTGATATACATTCAATAAGTTCAGTAGGAGAAATTCATCATCTTCATGTCCCTTCAATTGCAAAACAAGAAATTTGAGAATTTAGAGCACAGGTTAAACGACGTGTTCGTGAAGTATTAACACCAGTTGCTCTGCTTATCAAACGAGAAATGCGGAAGATAAATTTATCTTCGGAGGCACAGCAACTGTTAACACATCCACAACATATGAGTAAATTCGTAATTCATTTCTTTTTCAGTTCTCATTTTCATTCAAATATTAGAAGCTGCTTTTGGTCGAGAACGTCATAAATGTATTCCAAATATTCACAATCTTTAGATTTTATCATGCTACATGTGTATGCATTGACACGTGGATTCGAACGTTTCCTATTAAATGATGAAACTACAGTAAGCGATGACCGCTTACTTATATTTTCATCAAATACACAGCTGAATGATCTATTTAAATCATCTTATGTTTTCTGCGATGGTACATTTTCTATCTTTTTTCTCTGTATGAGCAAGGATATAAAACTATTTTGTCGTGTGACTATAACTAAAGACTAACGAGCTCATAAAATCCAAAAAACTGCGACAGAGGTTTAGCTTATGACTGTAATTGCATATAAAAAATAGTTGCATTGTGAGTATACTTACGATGCAACTATATGTTGAGAACCTCATACTTACAATGCGACTGTGCTTTACTATTATTTTCTAAATCAAGTAATAATTTGAGAAATATATGTAATATTTTTCGACAAAACGTCATTCGACGAATTATCATTCGACGAAAAGTCATTCGACCAAAAGCTATTCGACGAATAATTGTTCGACGAAAATTTTTTTGGCATTCGACGAAAAGTTCATTCGACGAAAATTCATTCGACGAATAGCTTCCAACTCGGAAAATAAGCATAAAATAATAGCATAGAAAAGCATGAGTCTTGAAATTTCTGAAGTCTACTTAAAAAATATTCAACGATGACAAAGTATCATGAAAAGAGTTTCTTTGAAGCTATAATCATCTATTTTTGATGCATAATGGTTCTCAATTTAAGGTGTACCCAGATTTGAAGATGTAATATATTAATGTAGTGATATGAGATTAAGTAATCATCTTTGTTATACAGTTTTGATATGATTTTGAATTCAAAGCAAAAATTCAGTTTTCTAAACGAAATCCATCTAGTAGTCTGAATGTAAAATGAACATAATTCAGAAAACAATATTTTTTCAATCTGTTTATCACTGTTTTATTGTTTTGAAGAATATTAAGTTGCGATACAAGAAAAAAAATTAATTGTTGTTAATTAATCAATGAATCATAAATTTAAAGGTAATATTGAAATGCAAAAAGAAAAAAGAGAAAAGTAAATGCATACGAAGCAATCATCAGTGAAGCATTATTATTCGTTGACAATGAGGTGGTTTGAACTGGTGCCTTTTTCGTTGTCGTTGTTTGGGGACTTGTTGTTGAAAGGATGGTAGTTGTGATGGGGGTAAATATTGTAGGCTGTACGACTTCTTGGCCAACTTCTACTTCAACAAGACCATCGTTGCCAATAATACTCTTTAACCAATCAGTATAAACAGCTACGCGAGTATATACGCCAGCATACCGTGGATCACCGCAGCCTTTACCAAAACTTGTTACACCAGTAAGCACCCACTGACGTTGTGCACTCTCAAATCGCATAAGAGGTCCACCAGAATCACCTTGACATGTATCTAGAAGTGGGTAAAAACACATAATGAAATACTACTGCACATCTCATCAATCAACATAGAGAAGTTCTGTTGATGTCCTTTTCGTTAAGTATTGTGTTAAATAAATCAAATGAGTATCTTCTAACAAAAGGAAACAAAAGCAGTAATATAAAATCTTATGCTCTTAGAAACTGTTTTTTCGCAAATTGTTTGTCAGCATAATAATGTTTTTGAAGTATAAAAGTAAACAAAGCACAAAGATTTTCGTGTTCATTAGATACCTATCTATAATAATTTGAAGTATGATAAATACTGAGTCCAAAATATAGTGTTTTATGTCACTGCACAGTTGTAGAATCATTTACAATCTCTTTTCATAAAAGGCATGATAATCTATAGTGTGTCTGTGTCATATTTTTTAACACAGACAGAAGATATTAGAACATAAATCTATTCTGTTAAAGAAAAATCTCAAAAGTGTGCTCATTTTTTGATTGATAATGAAAATGAAATAACAGAAGATTTTGGTATCAATTTGAAATACAGTTACTGACAACAAATGAGAAAGGGTAAAAATAAATAAATACTTTACTCGTCTATACATCTAATACATATTTTTTGAATTTTCTTACGTTTCAAGTAATTTCAAAAAAAGATTACCTTTCCCACCACCATTTACTCCTGCACAAAATTGTAATTGTGAATTATAAATCGAACATGTAAAATCATTTGTAGGCACTTCGTTGACAGTAACTTGTTGCAATTGATTTGGAAGATTTTGCGATCCAAAAAACAATGTTCCCCATCCGATCGCAATCAATGGTGTTGAATCTGGAGGATACTTGCCTATGTCACTTGTTACATTTATCCGAGGCAAACAAAGACGAACAATCGATGCAGATATTGAAAGATCTAACGAAGAATTAAGACGTAGGACAGCAATATCATTAGTATGTGTGCTGTCGTCGTATCTTGGATGTTGAATAATTTCTGCAACTTTACGCACTTGACCAACTGTGTCTGATTCACTCAGTCGATTCATACCAACTGCTACTGACATACCCGTGGACAAACTATTTTGATCAGACACACAATGGGCTGCAGTGACCACATATTTCGGCGATATAATAGCACCACCACAAATATGATTATCTCCATCATCTCGCAAAGATACAGCCCAACCCCAACTAGAAGATATTGCTTCTTCACCGCCGACAATTTTGTTTAGTATAGCATCATTGCGTGAACATCCACATGGTGCTGAATGATCACAAAAATAAGTCAAAGATGCCACTTGTACGACGAGGCAAACATAGACGAAAAGAATTGTGAAGAATATCTTCATAGCAGTTAATAAGATGTAACTAACTTTCACTATTGTGTATTCGACATTTTATACTTCTTAAGTTGTTTTTTTTCTTCAAAAAGGTTAGATTCGTCGAAAAACAACTGCATGACTACAAATATCCACCCAGACAAACATTTGTTCTCTGAATCATCGAATCGTCACAGATAAACATGTTAGGAAGCACTTTGTCCACAAAGAAAATCATGATTTTGTTTAGTTGGAAGTTTTTTTCTTTCACGTTATCACAATCATACGAAGTTTTTTGTATATATCAAAACGAAGCATGCCTTTCAGCCCACAAACTTTTACGGTGATAATATATCTCCAATAACCCTACGAAAGAATTTTGTTTTAATCAAGAAGAGGGTAATATCAGAGATAAAAAGATGTTGTTTGCGACAACTGTCCTTGACGATGATGAATAAAGATATCTTTAATAAATGGTATATTTTTTAATATCTCTACGGGTTTTGACGCAGTTCCATACAACTATTACAAAGAGAAATCTTCGATAAAGTAATGTTTCACAAAACTATCTTATAGACATACGATAAGACAACATTGATAAACCCCGATAATGTTAGCTACTCATTATATGTTGCATTAATGTTGATTTTACTTTTTTGAAATTTATTCTCCATCATCAAATGCGCACCAAAGTTGTACAGTATTCAACTTATGAAGGAACTGTCGTATTGTTTCGTATAATTCATGCACTAACTTAACCAAGACATAGTTTGAAGCGCTAGTATCTGTAGAATGTCGTACTGGACAATTTAAAAAAAAATACTTCAGGTTTTTCTTTACATTATGAAACAAAACGTAGACATCTTTCTGAAGCTTGAAAAAAAAACTAACGGGTGGGCCAGCAAAAAAAGTATTTTTTTGTTTTCGCTATAAGTCCGTGAGTTTAAATCCGATCGGGCCAATTTTTCCCCATGAGAATCGCGATTCAATTCTCTACAAAACCATGTGTAACAGATTTTTGTGAACTACAAAACGGCTAAGTTCTAAAACGAAGAAAAAAGGTCCAAAAATCTTCAACTTTCAAGCTCAAAATGCATTAACATTTTGAGTAGGTTTCGACAGTTTATACGCATGCTTAAATTAGGGGAGAAATATTTTCTGGTATTTTCAAATATGCTCTTTCCGATATCCTTGAAAAACTTTTCTTTGAAAGTGGCCTTCGCCTATTAAATCGATATTTTCCGAAAACTCGACCAAAACGCCTTAATTTGAGTTTTCAGGAAAACCTACCGCAAACAAAACTTTGCATGACTAGAACGAATATACAGGGATGTAGTCGAGTATGTCAGCTTTCAAAGAAAAAAAAATCGTCAAACAATAACGCTTTTTTACTGAATGGCATGCGTTTTCGTGCAAGCATCAAAAACGTGAAATGAAAGTAGAGTTTTTCGAAAACGCGAAAAAATTGATCCTGAATCTTTTACTCGCTTTTTGATGAAATTTTTTTTTAAATACATCAATCTTGCCCATAATTTGATGCTCTTTAACATGGTCGACTTAGTTTTTTCGTAGCTGCCGACGTGAGAAGCAAATTTTAGAAAAACGGGGTTTATGCTTAAAAGTTGAAGATTTTTGGACCTTTTTTCTTCGTTTTAGAACTTAGCCGTTTTGTAGTTTACAAAGATCTTTTACACATGGTTTTGTAGAGGATTGAATCGCGATTCTCATGGGGAAAAAATTGGCCCGATCGGATTTAAACTCACGGACTTATAGCAAAAACAAAAAAATACTTTTTTTGCTGGCCCACCCGTTAGAATGTTAAATAATGATATTAGTTAGTTTTTGTCATGCAACACAATCTATTGGACTCATTCTATTCAATATTAGTCAAGCAAGTAGAGTGACAAACAATAAAGAACGGAAGTCTATTGATGAACGTAGCAGCTTTTTTTTGTTAAGTCGATATGAAAATCAAATCTAATCCTAAGATAACATAGCTATGTCAATAATAACGTTTGTACATGTACATCTTCTTTACATTCAAAATGGCATATTTATGTTTGAATGTATTTGTTTCGACTATGCTCTTTCATCAACGTTAAGTTTGACCTTAGAAATAAGTAAGGAACTACTTAAACTACCATCCATAGAATTTTTCGCTCTACAAAATGCATGATTATTGTCGAAGTTAAAGATAACGATCTTTCGTTGTCCTCAGCAATGTTGATAAACAAAGATACTAAATGATTTGTTTTTTGCGATGCATTTATATTTTTAATAGAGAATGATAACAACAAGAGAGATATTTACGGAAACTACTTAGAACGGTTATTAGTCCTTTGCAAGTTGTTGGCATAATTCTCAAGGGTTACATGAATTTCGGTCCACGGAATTTTCCGCTCAGACTTTGAACTCGGTCCGAAATTCCCGTGAGCTTTTGGACCGGGCAGAAGTTTCTAGAGGAATTTCGGCTCGTTGCTTCATTGACCGCTAAAATAAAAAACTAAATTTTTGTAAAATTATTTGCTGGACATCGTAGTGCTTAGCAGGACGTCATAGAGTTCAATGAATTTTGGCCAACGGAATGTTCGGTCCGGACTTTCGCCCGGTCTGAAATTTCAGTGATTTTTCACGCCGGGCCGAAATTCCTTGTGGACTTTGGACCCATGAATGCATTGACCCTAAAATAAAAAACTTAGTCTGTAAAATTAGTTGCTAAACATCATAGTGCTGTGCAGGACGTCATAGTCCTTAGCGATGTGTCGTAGTGTTGCGCAATATCGCGTAGTGCTGAGCAGAGGGTATGGGGTGTGGATGTCTCTTCCATCAACACTCACACCCACACTACCCCACACTTCACCCACAGTCACACCCATACTACCCTACACCTCACCCACAGCCAGGGTGTGGGTGCGAGTGCGGGGTGTGGATGGGTGTGGGTATGGATGTTCCAACATCTGAAGATTCACCCACCCACAACCACACTCACATCCACACGCACACCCTCACACCCACACTCACATCCACACGCAAGCCCTCACACCCACACCCACACCCGCACCCTCACACCCACACCTACCCACACGCACACTCCCATCTTTCGTTGTCTGAAGCAATGTTGATAAACAAAGATACTAAATGATTTGTTTTTTGCAATGCATTTATATTTTTAATAGAGAATGATAACAACAAGAGAGATGTTTACGAAAACTACTTAGAAAGGTTATTAGTTCTTTGCAAGTTGTTGGCATAATTCTCAAGGGTTACATGAATTTCGGTCCACGGAATTTTCCGCTCAGACTTTGAACTCGGTCCAAAAAATTCCCGTGATCTTTTGGACCGGGCCAAAATTTCTAGAGGAATTTCGGCTCGTTACTTCATTGACCCCTAAAATATAAAACTTGATTTTTTTAAAATTATTTGCTGGACATCATAGTGCCTAGCAGGACGTCATAGTGCTCAGCGATAGGATTTAATGCTGAGCAAGACATCATAATGGGTCTGTAAGTGGAGTACGGATGTGGTGTGTGGGGTTGTCTGGGTTCCATGAATTTTGCCTCACGGAATTTTCGGCCCGGTCCGAAATTCCTTGTGGACTTTCGGCCCATGATCGCATTGACCCTAAAATAAGAAACTTAACCTTTCAAAATTAGTTGCTAGACATCATAGTGCTGTGCAGGACGTCATATTGCTCAGCGGTATGGCATAGTTCTGAGTAGTATGGCTTAGTGCTGAGCAGAGAGTATTGGATGTGGATGTCTCTTCCATCAACACTCACACCCACACTATCCCACACTTCACCCACAGTCACACCCACACTACCCTACACCTCACCCACAGCCAGGGTGTGGGTGCGAGTGCGGGGTGTGGATGGGTGTGGGTATGGATGTTCTAACATCTGAAGATTCACCCACCCATACTCGCAGTCACTCTCACACCCACACACCCACGCCCACACTCACATCCACGCCATCATGCTGAAGATTATGACGTCCTGCTCAGCGCTGCGCCATACCATTCAGCGCTATGACGTTCTGTTCAGTACTACACCATACCGCTAAGCACTATGACGTTCTGCTCAACACTACGATGTCTAGCAACTAATTGTGAAAAGTTAGGCTTTTTTTTAGGATCAATGCGGTCATGAGCCGAAATTCCTTGTGGACTTTCGACCCGGCCCGAAGGTGACCGGAATTTCGGACCGGGGCGAAAGTCCGGGCCGAAAATTCCGTGGGCCGAAATTCTAGTCTCCCATTCTCAAAGCAATTGGCTCGTAGTCATTTTTAGTTGAAATATGATTTCCGCTGGTGAATTTTTATTTATTTATGTTTTTATTCATAAATAGAAATGTTTCCTAGACAAAATTTGTCTTCGATTAAAGAATGATTCATAATAATGATGAATTTATTTCTGTACAACTTTGAATACTAAAGGCTAATATGAAAAGAATGAGTGCTTGATGCGTCAAGTAAAATGAAAGTTAATAATAATAAAAGAACCTGACAATGTACGTTCTATTATACGAGATATTGTTTTGTATCCATATTCCTAGTTTGTGTACTCATACTGATCTAACACAGAATGATTCAACAATCAATGGGTCTTACTCGTGAAAAAATATCGTTATAGAATGATGTTCATTATGGCAATGCTCATTTCTTCAATAACATAAAAAATATACGTTAATAATAAGATCGTACTGTCCTAATAATATCATATATGTAATCATTCAAGTCTTTATCCATCTATTTCATATTTACGTGATTCATTCATTAGAAAGTACATAATGTCTTCACGACAATAGTTTTGTGGTATCCGCAAAAAAAAATATTTTTGTAAATTCTTGTTGTGCATGACTGTTAACGTCGTGTATTATTCTTGTTTATCCATAATATGATCATAAGCAATAAATAAATATTGGTGAGAGTCAGTGCAATTTTAGCTTTTTGTTTTCTATTAATACAAGTTACTCGGTTCCATATAAAAAAAAATGTCTGAAAAGTATCAGCAATCATGTGGATTACAACATTGCTACTTTTTACAGTGACAAGCACTCTTACTGTAAAACAAGTTGCTGTCGAAACAGGTGAACTTCAATTGACTAAAGATCAATATCTTGCATTGATCACTAGTAAAGGTGGGACATTTGAAGTACCGAAAATTGCTGATCACCAAATGCAATGATCTCAAGTCAATCTCTCATATTATTATTGTTATACCAACTGACTTTTGGAAACTTTTCAATCCATTCATGCAACAAAATGCAGCAATTTTCAAGGCATGGGCTAATGCAAATTATCGTGATTATATTGATTGTTGGTATCATCCAGGTGGTGGTATGTTTGTCGCTTTCATTGTAAAATCAGATCCTTTGATTTGCAAAATATGGTTGGACGCTGTATATTCAGCAGTATTACGTGTATTTGAGTCTTATTTATAAATCTATGGTCGTTAAATTGGTTTTTTTTCATCTTTACTCAGCGTAAAATCACTTTACTGCAAATCATATTTAAGTATTTATTTCAAATAAAAATTGATACATTAACAATTTAATAATCATTATAATTACAAAAACAATTTTTTTATTTGATCGTTCTTTTTTATCGTGTAATCTTGCGTAAATAACATAGGTTATCAATGTTTTTAAAGAAAAAATAACATACAAAAAAGAGAAAAACAATAGTAGAAAAAGAAAACAACATGCTAATAACTAATGCACATCACTGCAAACATTTCTTGATAAGTCATCAAGAAAAATCCTAAAATGCACACATTATTATAACAATTTACACATCAAACTGAAAATTCTTTGAAATAGTAAATTATAATAAACAACAAGAAAAAACAAATATATAAAATAAGACGATAGAAAAATTTTTTCAATTAAACTTCAATACGACGAGCTTGTTGTTGTAAACGTTCATTTGCAATTTCTTTTAATGTTATTGTTTTCTCATGATCAATATATACATAAGGTACTGTTGTTGATGATGATTTGGATGTTGAATTAGTCGTTGTTGATGAATTATTTCGATTAATTGTATTAGTTTGATTTGAATTAGATTGTTGATGATGATTAAAAAATGATAAAATAGTTCGTTTGTATGATTGTTGAACAGGAAATTCTTGCTTTGATTCAATATGTGGTTCGTCCGCAGTAATAGGTATTTTTGATTCTGTTGAAATACCTAGAAATAGAAATAATTTTGAAATATATGATACACTTATTATTTTTTTCTCACATACCCCCTTCGTTCGTTGAAATTGGTGTTGATTCTGTTTTTAATTCAACATAGTTAAGTTCTGGAGAAATTTCTCTTTCAACAGGTTGTTTAAGTCTTGCAATAAATTGTCCTTCCTCTTCGTCTTCTTCTTGATTATTATTATTGTGTGTTTCTCTTTGGCAAGGAAGTGTATCAAAAGGTATATAATTTTCTGATAAATTTGGTTCAGAATTTCGATAAGAAAATGTAGCTCCTGAAGTTAATGAAATTGATGACGAAGATGATGATGATGATGAATAAAAAATTGATGATGGTACACGACGTGTTACACCTTGATCTGATTGTGTTCGTCGTCGTCGATGATGAAGATGATTATGATTACGTGATGTTGATGAAACATTTGTTAAAGTAGATGAAGACGATATAATTGTTCCGCATCGTTGTTGTTCTAGTAATTGTTTTGAACGAATTGCTATACGTTGATCTAAACAATCAACAAGACGATGTGCTTGTTTACAACGAAATGCATAACGTGCTTGACCAAGTGGTGCACGACGACCACATTCAAGAATAAATATTGAACCATCTAAACCATAGCGTTTGATTGTCTCTAATGGAACGTGTAATGATTGTCGATGTTTTTGTCTTATACATAAACTATCATTTGACACATGAATTTTTGCTGATGCATGTTTTCGCCCATAAGAATTAATATTATCAACTTTAAATATATCATCATTTGTTGATATTGATGTATCAGTAAGATCAATTGCAAGATGATTTGATGAATTATTATTACCCATATCTGAAAAATATAGAAAATAAAACGAGCATTTCAAAAATATGAATGTTCAATCGAATTCAAGATACAATATTTATTGATTGTAACTTTTAAGAAAAGAATTTATATTTGAAATCATATGATCAATAAGAATATTCACAGTGAATATATTAGATTCAGTAAACAAGAACAAAATAATGAGAAATCATACAAAGAAAAAATCTCTATGACTACATGATTAAACTTCCGATAATTGTAAAGTTGAGTTGTATTCTACGAAAAATTTCTCCTATGAATTACTAGTTTTTCTATCAAATAATTGAATTAATTTACTCATTTCTAGCTTACTTGGTTGAACATATTTGATTGTTATATATTCATACTAAAGACACTTGAGTTTTCGAAGTGAAACTACGATACAGAAATAGTATTTTTTTTTTTTATTTAGTTGCAACAGAAAAATCTTTTCTTTTTACAATAATCAAACTTTCTAATTTTTTATGAACTCTTCTATGACGAACGTTAATAATAATGTTTAATAAGACTAACTTGTATTTTATTAAACTATATATATATCACTTAAAACCTCTCTTTAATGATAGTTTAAAAAAGAAACAAATCCATGTTCTTTATTGAATACTTAATAAGTTTCGTTGTTCTACGATTATAGTTTATAGTCTAACCAATGAAAAGCTTATGATAGGATTGTAGAGTTTATCGAGCTGAAAGACAAACATGTGGATATTATAAAAATAGAAATTGGTTCTTTTTATTTCGTAATTGACGTACTTCCATAAAAAGCTTAATTGGATAATAAGAACAAATTGTTCTTTGCAATACAATTTCTATTTTCAGAAATGTCAAATCAATGTTTATAAATTCATTCATTTTGCTAATAATATAATCTGACTTAGATTTCTTTTGGTTTTAAATATCATTTCAATCAACAATAACTCTTCGAATTTTATCTTCCCTTGATGACAGGTATATTTATATATTTTCTTTACTCGTACTGTATATATATATACATTATGTTATGATGAATAGTGTAGATTCGGATAGATACTAAGACATGACTATGTGTATTTAATAAAGTAAAGAAGATGATTTTCATCAATAGAACATATTTAATTCCTTCGAATTTTTAATTCAATATATACGGATTTAACAACACAATATTAAACAGCGTTGAGTAATAAAAAAATATATAGTAATTTTAATAATTAAAGAACAAAATGATTTACCTGAGTTTTAATATAAGTTCTTTAACAATAATAAACTCATTCTATATTTGAAAGGAAGCAATATTTATTATGTTTTATAAAACTTTCATAATCGTTTTAAGTAGATGTATATAATTTTTTTGATATAAAACAATTTTGAGAAATATGTCACATGAGCTATTGATTAGAACTCAGAAAAAAAAATATTTTAATGCCAATGCAAAGTCAATTATAAACAAATACTGAATATGAATTGCACATATCATAAATATGTTACTAATGAAAAAAGAAAAAACCTGAAATTATTGATTTATTATTAATTCTTACTTCATGAAATTTTGATTGATTAAATATTATAGGAAATCATCGTCATTATAATTAGAAATCGTTTCAATATATACATAAATTTGACATTATTTTGAAGATAAAGATTGAGGAACTTAACATAAAAATATGTAACGAATATTGCCAACGAACATCAATATTTTCTATTAAAATAGATAATTCATAAAAGTTGTCAATGTCTAAATCAATAGACCATAACAATCGAGGCTTTTATTCTTTCTTCTACATTCATTTTTTATCAATCAAAAAAACTAATGAAAATAATTACACGCTTAATCATCAGACAATTTTTGATTGCATAAGGTATAATCATTATTGATTTTTTTTTCTTGTTCGTCTTCTACTCTTATGTTAGAATAATAACTGATAGATGGGTCTAGACCAATGTGTTATGACTCATTGTATATTATATGTATCGACACATTAATGCATTTCGAACCTATACACTTGTTTTATTAAATAACTCGCGAACCAAGATATCAAGCAATTTTTTTTTTCTTCGGAATTTTTAACCTTTAAAAAAAAAATCGAGTCATTTTATTTTATATATTGATTTTTATCATACTAATTCAAATAATAAAGGAAAATAGATTACAAGACTTTTTTTTCTTGCTCTTACTATTTGGTAAATTCGAAGCAACGAACGCCACAGGACAGTTGTTTTCGTTGTGCTCTGCAGAACGCAGGGTGGAGCATGAAAAAGTTCATTCGGATAGGATAAAAAGCCCTCATGCGTGCTGCCTGTAAGACAATCTTTTCATTGCATTTTTGACAAGGATAAAACTTGTATGAATATGAGGTATGATGTCAAAAAATCATAGAAGTACTATTTATATAAAAATCATTTACAAATATCACGTTAATAAATCTTATCACACGTTTCTTAGCAGCAATAAAAATGAACAAAAGAAATTGACATCCATAAAACGAACAAAGATAACGACACTGAATTTACAATGTAATCAATACTGAATGTGAGTTAGAATGTCAAATATCATAGAAGTATCATATATATATATAAATCATTTACAATGATGATGCTAATAAACCTTATCACACGTTTCTCAGAAGCAATAAAAATGAACAAAAAGAAATTGACATCCATAAAGAGAACAAAAGAAAACAATACAGGATACACAATGTATGTAATCAATATGAACAAATGATATTGACAAAGGATAAATTTTCTTTTTACTACTTGTTCTTGAATTTCTCGTATGAACGAATAAACTAACATGTTATCAATTCGATTTGATGATAAATGTGTTTGTCTTTGAGTAAATGTCAATCCAGCTGAGCTAATATAATGTTTCTACCGAAGCACTAATCACTGATATAACATGTACTCTTCCGACAACTTATTGATAATGATGGAAAATCATCACGACTTTCACTATTATATCAGAAATGCATTGGGTTACGATCAATCAAATGACTTGGATCTTCTATAGAACTCAAATATTATGCTGATAGTTCTGTGATGCTCTTTGCTTTGAAGTACATTGATTATCTCAAACACGAAAAGAGAATATTTCGAAGAATTATTAAAAAAAAAAATGTGTCTATTGATTTGATAGTTTCGTACATTTTTACTATATAATAAAAATGAGAGAGCGAAGTTTGATATTAAGTAGGATGTAAAGTGATGAGTCTTAGATATAGCATGAGATGCAATCTGCAAGTTCAGAATGAAAAAATAAAAGAGTATAGAAAAAAAAAAAAACTAATGCTTATTTGAAAACCATTTTACTGATTTATTGGCTTATAAAGCTTAGAGTCTTTGATTTTAAATAGGCTATACTTTCGTTTTCAAAAGACGTGTATTCGATAACTGATTGTTTTTTATTTGCAAGAATGCATTCTATTACTACCATTGGTTTGATTATCTTTGTATATTTTCTGGGAATAACTTATAGCATTGATTTTCAATCTAATCGACAACTTGGATCTATGATATTCTTTTTTTCCGGTCAAAATCCATATGATTTTAACAATTACGGTTGCTGGTAAAATATTTTTCAGTATTTTTCATTATAAAATAAATGTAAACTTAATAATTTGATAGGATTTACTTAGAATTTTATCAAATGATAGAATTTACATTAAAGTTATTTTGTTATTTGTAGGTGTAGTAACAAAGATAAACCAATTCATACTCCCTTAGACGAAATCGATCAGTGTTGTCAAACATATGAAACATGCAAAATTGTTGAGAAATCTGATACTATTCCATATCCATATAAAGCTTCATTTGAAGATGGAACAATCGAGTGTTTAAATAATAAAAATACGAAAGCTCATCATCAATGTCAATGTGATCTTGAGCTTGCTCAATGTCTCCATAAACGTCAAAGCGAATATACAACTAATTTATTATATATATCGGACAATAAGTGTAATCCAGGCGGTAAGTTATTATATATAAAATGTATACTTGATATTGAAAAAAAAAACATTGAGAAATATAATGATCAATTTTCTTTATTTTTGATAGAAACTTTTTTTTTTAAATTTAATGATTTATATAATCGTTTTAACTCATTTTAAAATGATCTTCAATTATTTTGTATTATATTATAGTTGTACTCAATTTTGATGATTTATTGACAAATATTACTTCGAAAAATATTCCAGAAGTTTATCATAATTTCACATTTACTGGTGGACATTATACAGTTGGTAAAGATTTGACTAATCCAACACGTCCCAGTGGTTATGCTACAGCTATGGTTAGTTCACCGAATGTATTATATAGTCAAAATCAAATGACAATTAAACGTACTGATGGACAACCATTTTCTGTTGTTTCATTTTCTGCAGCAGCTGCTTTCGTTCCAAATTTGAAATTAACTGTGATCGGTACTCGACAATACTCACCAATAGTTTTCAATGAGACTGTTTTTCTTCAAATTACTACTCGTCAAAACATTGAACTTAACTGGTCAGGTATCGATATGTTAACATTTACTGGTACAGGTGGCAAAAACTATCCAGCTTATTCAGAAAAATGTGGTGATTGTCATTTTGCTATTGATGATCTTCGATTTCGTTTATAGATGAATCTTAATAAAATTTGAATAAAAAAAGGCTCTTGATTAATTTTTAGCTTAGAAAGAAAAGATTTTTATTCAATTACTTAACAAATTTTAGATATATTTTGTACTTGAGTATGTGTTGAAATAAACTTACGAGAAAATTACCTCAATTATTATTTCATGTTTGAACTCAAATTGAATTCAAGATGAGGTATTAGCAAGACTAGAAAAATTCTAGAAGGGCTCGTATCTATGGACCTCTCGAGCCGAGTTATGATCATTTCATTGAATTTTTTATGCAGTTTTAGATATTTACAGAAAAATCAAATAATAAAATTTTGACCTAAAATCCAATTCCTAGATAGGTCTAATGACTCTTCAAATAGTCTTTTGTCGAGATATTAAGTTTTCAACAAATAGTCGCTTGGCACCGACATGTCACAGCAATCGAGTTCACTTGAAAATACAATATCTCAGCAAGGGAACATCCTTTTGATTGAAACATTGAGGATATTCCAAGTATCATTAGACTTATCGATGGCCGAAATTGTAGGTCCCAATTCTATTATTTGATTTTCCAGCGAATACTTAAAAATGAGTCAAAAATTTAGTAAAATGGTCATAACCTGGCTCCAGAGTCCTATGGTTACGAATCCTTTTAAACTTTTTTTAGCCTTACTGGAACTTCCTCAAGCGTTCAATATCAGTTTAAACGACGAGGTTCAGTTCGGACCTCGTTAGTATATAAAATTGCTTTTACTAAGTAAGTACATTAATATTTAAACTGTACTACGACATGATTCAATACGATGGACATGTTTGGACACCATGACTCTTTTCAATAGAAAATCTCGTAGAAATTTCATATATCGTATATCAATGATCACTGGATACGATAGAATGAAAAATAAAAATTGACTATTGAATCGAAGAATATTAATTGAAGTTTACCTTCCATTATTTAACAACTTACAGAATTTATAATAGTTCTTTATTTAAAATAAAATATTTTTTCGTTTCGAAACACGTATATTCGATCATTCATTGTTTTCTGTCGGGATAAATTATAGCACTATTATTGCATTGATTCTGTCTGTATGTTTTCTGGGAATAAATCATAGTATCGATATTCAATCTAATCAACAACTTGAAATTATGATGTTTATTTTACAGTTCAAAATCTATATAATTTTATCAATTATAATTGCTGGTAAAATATCTTTTAGTATGTCTTATTTTAAATAAATGTCAACTTAATGCAATAGTTTAATAAGAATTGTTTAGAATTCTATCAGATGATAGAATCTACATGACAGTTGTTTTGGTTTTTTGTAGATGTAGTAACAAAGATAAACCAATTCCTCCTGTCTCATTAGACGAAATCGATCATTATTGTCAAACACATCAAATCTGCAGTATTGTTGAGAAAATTAATGCTATTTCTTATTCATATAAAAGTTTATTTCACAGATAGCATCATCAAATATTTAAAAAATGAAGAAACTAAAACTTGTCGTCAGTACCAATATGACCTTGAAATTACTCAATGTTTCAATTAAAATCGAGAACTCATGTGCAAAATTGAACATGAAATTTTTTTATTGATCTAGATGATAGTAAAAACTATAGTTATATTGAATGCTATAGTCTTCTGTACATTTTTCAATTTAACTTATGCATAAAATTGTTATGATTTTCTAGTACAGTTCACTTATCATATGTAACAAAAATTGAAGCATTTCAAATAATTAAAATGTAATAGATTTTCTTTTAATTTAATCATTAACATTTCTCTTTTTTATAGTTTTAGTGAACATTTTATTGTTGCTTATAAATAACACATACGTCTAATTAATTATTCTACAGTTATTATTTGATCATATAATGTTCTCAAGAATTTCACATGACATGATAATCAAACATGTTTATGAACATCGATTTCCAGTTATGTCATTTTCAATAGCAATTGCTTATGGTATTACCTTCAATTTTTTTTTTTTGCAATAATTCAAATCAATATTTTTTAATGAAATTATTCTTCTTCAAATTGATACTCACTTGCTCATCGAACTCGATTTATCAAAATATGATATGTTCATATTTACCATTAACGAGAATAAAGCATATCTGCCAAATGAATAATATCGTGACTATTATTTTGCCAGTAATAATAATATTCATCTGAATCTATAAGTCATATACTAAAAAGTATTTTTCAGGGAAAAAACTTCGAGAAAAATAGCAGATGTTTATTTCTTAGAGTTGATGTTTAAATAGGAAAAAAAAGACTCATGAAAGAAAAATATATAATAAGACAGAACATGTCTGAAGTGATCAATAAACTATGACAATGAGTATTACAAATATTCACTAATATTTTAAAAAATCTTGAGAATAAATTATTCTCAAGAATGTCGATGAAGACTTCTATTATATATTTTTGTTCGTTTATTATCATGTGCAGCAAGTGCTAATAGATAGATACTATCTGGAAATTCATTGGAGAAAATCTTGACATCATATTTAATTACAGTAACAGTGAAAACTCGCATTCTGAATAAAGCAATTAATTTTTTGACTTCATTGTAAAATTTGAATGTAAGTGAAAAAATTCTTCTTCTCATTTTTATTCTTCGTTCAGCAAAATTAATTATATATTTATCAGCAAACCATGTATATTGTCGTTTAATATTTCCAGTAAACCATAGATTAGATGTATTTCGTGTTTGTAATATTTCAAATCTAGCTTCATGAAAAATTCCAAGTTGACGAACATTTAATTTTCCAATAACATTATTATATGGATAAGTACATAGTTCAATCTGTTGCATTGGATTATAAAAAGATTCAATTCGATAACGTAAATGATCTTCATTATTTCCTAAATAAATACTAAATTGACCAGCTTTTAAACCAGCATCCATATCTTTTACAACCACATATTCTCGTATTGGTTTTAGTGACTGAACAGTGACCAAAATAAAAACGATAACGATGAAAAAGTATAGATTTATTGACATTTTCAACTCGATATAAATGTTACAAACAACTGAAGCAAAATATCGTTACATTTCTTGAGGCTCAGCTATGATAGATAATTTGTGGTATAACAACAGATAGATAATATGTCAGTACTCGTTGACTTTTATCTGTTACTTTTTATATCAGTGATATATTGAAATGGTCGTTAGTTTTTATTTTCTTAGATGCACACAAAACAAAAAACAATTTACATAAACAATATAAATATTTTATCATAGTAATTTGGAAAGAAACAATTCAAAAGATTTTCATGTTTGAATGTAGACTAAACTAGTGATGAAATATTCAATATTATTTGTAAATGATTAATAAACATCATAGGAAATAATTTGGCATTATGCATGAATAGATGCTAATATATATTTTTCATCTTCCATCTAGATACTATAATCTATTACTGATAACGAAAACAAATTATTGAAAAGAACTATCAGAATATACAACTCAAAGATTTATTAATGAAATGAATAAACTATCATTTCTTCGACGATTTTTTTTCTTCTGTTGATGACAGTTAATGTCTATTATTCGAATAGTTAATGATAGATGAGAAGGCAGAATCTAATACTTTACTGATTACTGTCTCCTTTGAATGTATGTAAATAAGGGCACAAAGAATAATATTTTCAAAAAGGTTTTATATCTATACTATCCAACATTATATTAGAATTTGCTTTCAATTTCAATTACAGGTCAGGATAATTAGAGACACATGAAAAAACAAAACACATAAATAACAATTAATTTTTTTAGATCGAAATTTAAATTGAATCCATTTAAACATTTGACTATATTTAATTAAGTTAGCTGATATATACCATAGATCGGTGATAGAGAAAAATATTTGATTAATTTCAAAAACTTTTTCAAGGAAACAAAAACATTCGAAAATTATCTACAAAACGCAAATTCTTGAATTTCTACTATTTATTTATTTGCTTTTTTTTTAATGCAGCTTTAGTAAATGAAAATTTTCAACAATTATTTTCGTTCGTAGTGATTCAATCAATAGCCTTGAACGTTCACTTTAAATTTCTGTTATTTTCAAAGATATTTTATTAATTATCATTGAATCGAATACAAAGGAAAACATTTATCATATAATTTAATGACATTTTGACATAAAGAGCATGTAGCGCTTCATGGTCGATTGCTGAAATCGACATAATTCATTATGCTGGACCTCTTTTCAACCACGTGACTGTCAATAAGAATAGTAAATATAGTTCAAAACATTTTTATTATAATAGATTTCTACTATTTAGAATATTTCTTTATTAATTAGAAAAACATAAGGAAAATTCTTCTTCGTTATTAAATCCATATTCTACCTTGATTAATCCATATTTTGTTGCCTACTATAAAAAGAAACGACAAGGTCGCGGTTTGATTACTTAAGACAGATATAAAATCATTGTATTTTGCTTTATATTTCATTCATTCGTTGATTCGTCTAGCAACCAATCGAACATATTTATATCAATAAAAATACAAACGAACAAAAAGCGCCTATATTTATCTTTCATTTATTTGACGCTTCGAAACATCAAGGTGTTCTATTTATCCTATTTGTATCTTTTTGACGTAGCCGTATTTCTATTTTTATCATTCACGTGTGTGTGTGCGTGTGAGTGGGCGTCTATTATCAATAACAAATAATTAAAAATATCTATTTTTTTTTCTTTCAAAATTAATGAAAGAATATGGCAACTGGCAAAGAGTTAACAAACAATTTCTTTCCTATAATGTCATCAACTATGATACAACGGCCAAAAAAAAAACAATCACGTATTACGAAAAAAAAACTTGCAGGAAAAAATCAAATTCCGATACATTTTCGTTTTGGTAAGATTGCGGTTTTTTTTTTTTCTATCAACAAATTTTTATATTTTTTTTTTTTTTTATTAGGTGGTAATCGAAAAGATCCACTCAATTTAAATGCACTTATACAAAAGAAAAAACAATTAACACGATCAACATCATCATCAATGATCAACAATGATCATACAAACAATAATAATAATAATGGTAATGATCGACCGGTTGAAATTTTACTTCAACCTGATATTTTTGATCCTCTTCGTCTTGACACATCATCACGTAATGATGAAGATTTAAATAATATTTATTCTATTCCATCAAATAGTACAAATGAACAACAAACTAATAATTCAATTATATGTCCCATACGAAAACAACGATATGGAAAAAAACGAAGACATAGTCAACCACCACGATATGGAAATTTTCAAGGTTATTATGGTTATCGACAACCAAATCATGATCAACGTTTTCAATATCTTGAACATAATTGGTTTCATAATAAACAAGTATTAGATGTTGGTAAGTTCTTATAGAAAATCATAAAAATAAATGATATAGATTAAAGAAAAAAAAAAAAATCATTCAAATGATGAACAAACATACACCATCTTTCGACTGAGATAAATATGCTGATTTTAAATAAAACTGATGAATAAAAACTAATTCTTTGTTTTTTCCTTAGATTTTTTTTTTTTCATTTTATGAATATATTTTAATTCATTATGATTTATTCTTTAGGGTGTCATACAGGTCATGTGACATTCTATGTAGCTGAACATTTTCAACCTGATCAAATTGTTGGTGTTGATATTGATCAACAACTTATTCAACAAGCTCGACATCAATTATGGAATCGTATACAATCAGCTAATAATAATAATAATAATTCAAATATTAATAATGATAATAATCAACATAAGTGCTATCCATTTAACCTGCGCTTTCAGCAGGTGTGAATTTAATTTTTGTTCTAAATTATCATACAAAGATTCATATGTATATATTTAGGGTTATTGAATGAACTTTGGATTGAGTCCAAGCGACGAATGCTTTCTGCTGATCGAGCTGAGCCGGAGCGAGCGAGTGAGCAGCCACGAACCTGGTCGACATACATCTCAGTTATCTTTCTACTTTATCTACTATGGTGATGATACAGCATTAAACAGGTGATAAGATATATTTAATCCTAAAATATTTTCAAGATTTCAAAAAAACAAAAGGAAGAAGAAAACCTACGAGCAGAAAGCATTCGTCGTTAACCTTTGTTTTTCTTTAGTGTAATTTTCGAAAAATAATTATATATTTAATATTTTTTTAGGAAAATTTTGTGCTTGATAATGATGAGGATTTGGCTAATATTAGAGCAGAATATGATACAATCATTGCATTTAGTGTAACAAAATGGGTACATTTAAATTTTGGTGATGAAGGTCTTAAGCGATTTTTTAAACGAATTTATCGAACATTATTGCCAGGTGGAAGATTAATACTTGAACCACAACCATGGTCAAGTTATCGACTTAAACGTCGAATGACGGTGAGAAAATTATTCTTCGTGTTTTTTTAACACTTGTCTTTTATTAAATAGTGAAAATATTTTCTCATTATCTATGTTTTTCATTAGAAAGATGAGTATTGTTTTTTTTTTTTTTTTGTAGAAGGATATTACGGAAACATATAATCGCATAGAATTTAAACCAACAGAATTTGTATCTTATCTGCTTTCGGCTGAAGTCGGTTTCGAAACATGCACTACAATAGCAACACCAAATCATCTGCATAAAGGTAAAAAAAAAATTCATTAAATAATTAAATTTTAAATAATTTATTTTTTTATAGGTTTTCAACGATCGATGTTTTCATTTATTAAAGCATCGACTGGTCTTGACAATTGAAAATCTTAAAAAGAACGAACTAAAGATAATTTGTTTTTTTCTCTCTTTGTTTCTTTTGTTCTTGTGGTTTTTTATACAATATGTATGTTTGTGTGTGTCTTTCATTTGTTCTGTTTTTCTTTTCTTCTTTGTGTCGACTAATTACTCCTGCTGCTGCTCTCTCTCATTCGCGTTTCTTGATCGATTAGAACTACGGCGATTCGTTGTTTCGTATCAAAACTGTATACATTTTTACTGTTATTTTGTTTGTTTTTTTCTTGTATTCATAGTTCTGCTTAGCAGATGATATATTCACACGTTTTTTTTTCTTTCGTTTCTGCGTATCCAGTTCGACTTCGTTTTTTTTTTTTTGTTTGTTTTTTCTTCAAAGAACAGTGTGTTACTCTATGCTCGGACATTGTTCTTATATATTTTTTTTTGTGATATTTGCTGTATAATAATGGGTGCAAACGTAGAAATTAATTCTATTTTCTATTTTATTTGTTTCTTGATCCGCATTTTTATTGTACAAGCAGAATCATATAAAAATAGGTACGCATGTAAAAGAAAAAAAAAGAAGAATCATCTCATTTTAGGATAGTGAAATAAAAGTTGTTATGTTTAATAACATTTTCATGATCAATTTAAATTTCTTTTATTAATTGCTTTTTCTTTATATTTCGTTATTTTGTGGGTTCACGAATGAAATGGGAGGGAGAAAAATAGTTTTTGTTTTTCTTATTCATTCGATCGTTTAAAGCTATTGGCCCAATCACCATAAGCTGGATCGAATAAATTACGTTTTTTTTCTAAATATTTTGACCAAGAATCACCAAATGCCGGATCATAAAAACTTCGACGAGTTAAAATTTGTTTTAATACTTGAAGATGAGTAGCAGATACTGTTTGATCATGAGAATTTATTTTGTCATTGACATGATGTTCTTCAGCATTCTACAAGAATTAAATAATATATCAATCGATAATTATAACAATGATTAGTACTTACTTGTCGAGAACTATGAACAATGCAAATGAAAAGAAACCAAATAGAGAAATACGTTATCAATTGTTGACGAAATGAATTCATCATTTATTTCAGTTATAATAACGAGCAATTGTTTGTAGCAAGAGTATCTAAAACAAAATAAGAAAAAAACTACATATGCACAAGAACAAAAATCTCTGAGATAATCAAACAGTAAGTTTGTTTTCTTTTATTGCTTTCAAAAGATGAATATATGAAGATACTCTTGTCTGAACTACTCTTTTTTCTTATCTATCTTCTCGTATTTTTTTATTCCATTATATATATATATATGTTTTCCATTATATATATATATATAATCTTTTAACTCAACGAGAGAGAGATAAAAAAAACATTTTAGTTGTTACCATACAGAGCAAATAATTAGCTTTCAACAGCACGCCTTTAGCTTCTCTTGCAGACTTTCACTCTCCCTCTCATGCTGTTGTCTCATTTATGAAACAAAAAATCACTTTTCTCGAACATGTCATTGTTACTTATAATCACTCATGAAAAATGATCGAAGAACTCATATACGAACAAAAAAAGAAAAGCACCAACTTGATACTTGTTGTTGTTTTATTATAAAAAACGAGTATCATCAGTCATTCAAGGATCAGTGAATATTCTTGTATAAAATATATGCATCAGGCATATTCTCTATGAGCAATATTCAATTTCCGGTTTACTACTACATAAAGGAAATAATGCTATTTATATATATATATCGCCGAAAAACTAATTCCTTTTTTTAACATTAACAAAGAAAAGAAAGAGTAAGAGAGTTTCTCTCTCCTCACTCGCTCAATTTTTTTTATGAAACATGATCTAAAAGGAGTGTTGGAGTATAAAGGTAAAAATTTGAACTCTTCCTCATAGGCAGCTTAGCAATACTTGCTCTCCTACGAGTAATAGATGTTGTTGATATACAATCACAAATCATATATCAATAACGTCTTGTTATAATATATGAACTATTTCCTTATTGCATTTCTTGAAGATTAAGTAAAAGGATGATGAAAAAATGTATTCCGACATAACGGGTGCGGCAGGAAAATTTGACGACTTTGGATAGGCTATTCTCTCAAGTTAAGCTGGCTCACGAAGTTTCGTTCTAATGTTAAAAGATAGACTTTTGCATAGATTTTATTGATATGTTCCTTTCAAATTGAGCATTTGCTCAACTACAAAATCAAACATTGCGGAACAGAGGGGTGTTTTATTAGTTAATTTTAGTTCAAAATTTCTTCTTTGTAGTAACAGATATCAAATTATTCGGTGTATCTAGTAGTGTGTTGATTTTTATACGTTTAGCTGCTTCTGCTAAAAAAAATATTAGTATTCCAGCTCAACAAAATGCTCTTCATCATAAGAACTCAATTCATTTTTTTTATCTAGTGATGAAGCTGGGATCTTTTCCTTGACAAAAAAAGGTGTCAAAAATGAATAACTAGACATTCTTTTCTTTCCGAAGTAGCTTTTTTTTAAATGATGATATGTTTTAAAAAATTTGGTATTGTGTCTCTAAAAACAGATATATGTTTGTACTGTTTTTTAATACCGAATTTGAATAGCATACGTAAAACTATATAATAAAGAAAAATGATGTTTTATTTCATTTAAATGCTGAACAAATTATGCTTGTTATGATATCCAGCACTTTTGACGCTACAAGAAAAGAGCAGCTGCTCATTTTAAAGCGAATATATCAATAAAACCTACGTTAAATTTTCTATTTGTTAAACATCAAAACGAAATTTTCTGATCGAGCCAAACTGAAGAAAACAGCCTGTCAAACAAATTTACAATTTCTCCTGACACACCTGTTAGACAGAACAAAACAATCATCCTTTTATTATCAACAACAATACCATCATGTTTCATATTTTAGTCCCATAGGAATTGTTCTAGCAGCCTTTCATATTCTATTTCCCCAATGTTTTTCTTGACATAATCAATCAAAAAATTTTTATTCAAGTTTTTTTTTGTTTAACATAAGTTATAATATCTTTTTTGGTCAAAAGACCAACTAAATATCCTTTATCATTGGTTATTAATATAGTTTGTGCACCAAGTTTCCTACATAAATCTATAATTGTTGTTGTTGGTGTATCTAATGTTATTGTTGTTGGTGAACGATTTAATAAACGATAAAGATGTATTACATTCGATTGTTGTTGTATTGTACGTGAAAATGATATCAATGTATTCATATTTGAATCAACATTTGTTAATATTCGTTGTTGAAGAATTAATTGAAGATCACGACGTAAAACAAAACCAATAATTGATGTTTCGTCTTGACTAGCAATAACAGGATAACCATTATATTTATGTGTACGTAAAATTGTTGATAATTCATTTAATGTTAAACCATCACGTGGTAACATAATTAATTCATTCTTTTCTTGTTTACATTCAAGTACATCAACAGCTGTTGTTTGATCAATAAATTCAGCTTTAACATCAAGATATGGATAATTATTTAATTTAATATGTGCATCATATATGCCTTCACCAACTAAAGCATCACCAACAAGTTTTGCTACTAATGCTGCACACATTAATGGAACAGAATATGAAAGACCACCTGTTAATTCAACCATAATAACAACAAGTGATACTGTCATTCGTGTAACACCACCAAGAAAAGCACATGCACCAACAACTGCATAAAAACCAGGTGCAATACATTGTTCATCTGCTGTACTGCATTCAATAGAAAATAAAAAAAAATCTGGCCAATAATAGACCAATGCTTCAAATAGAATACCAACAATTCGACCTGTTATAGCACCAAGCGTCATTGAAGGAATAAATAGACCACTATATAGCAAAAATAAATAAGAATTTTTAATCATTAAAATAATAGAAATACGAACCAAGGAACTTTAATACCAAATGTAAAAATAAATAGAATTGTTTGAGTGACTAATGCTGAACAAAGTAAACCGATTGATGTCCAGACACCTCTAAATAATGAGTGGCAATATTTAGAATATATATTTAACGTAACTAATTCGTATTCAAGTCTAAAATCATAAGTTTTATTAAAAATCTAAGATAATACTCTTTTATTATTTAAACCCTGTTGAGCTATTTTCGATACATGCATAGAAACTATCTATTTGAAGTAATAAAGTATCGAATCGAGACAGTTTCCCTGATGTTATGTAGAGCCTTCAATAAATTATGAATTCGACAAAGGAAAAATTGAATTTCTTTTCATCATTTCTTACAATGGAGGTGTTTGTACTGTCCATCGAAAAAGTGGCACATATTCAGGTCAAATGAAAGCTCTCACCGCTAAACTAACAAGGTTAAAATATTAGCTGCTAATGGCTTGCCTAGAGGAAGATATTTAACTTTTAAATTTAGGTATAATAATGAATGAGAAAAGGCTTTCTCTACTATTAAAAGGACAAAACATAGTGTTGTTCGGGTCGATTATAGGGTTTGTAGGGTCCCTCTGTCATGTGGTCCGAACAAGACTATGTGTTGTCCTTGTAATAGAGGAGTGAATTTTTCTTGTGGTTGATAGAAAAAGCTGTTTCCGTGAGCTACAACGAAAATTCACTCTACTATTATAAGAACAGAACATGGTGTTGTTCGGACCATATGAAAGAGGGTCCCTACAAACCCCTTAATCGCCCCGAACAACACTATGTTTTGTTCGGATAATAGTAGAGAAAGCCTTTTCTCATTCATTATTATACCTAAATTTAAAAGTTAAACATCTCCCTCTAGGCAAGCCATTAGCAGCTAATATTTTAACCTTGTTAGTTTGACGGTGAGAGCTTTCATTTGACCCGAATATGTGCCACTTTTTCGATGGACAGTACGAACACCTCCATTGTTAGCTAAGATATTTGAGTTGAGAAAAGATGTTTTTTTTTCTTTATTTAGTTATACAGACTGCTTATTTTGATGTTTGTGAGATTGATATATACACTGCTACGAACACAATCTGTTTGAAGAGTGGTTTTTGAAGATTTCTTGTTTTTAGATATGAAAGTAACATTTCTTACGGGAGCTTAGGTCATTTTTGACTCATTTGTAATGAATTACATGAAAAATGATTTTTCTAGATTTTTTTATTTCGATATAAATTCATAAAATAACGTGATCTTCATGCTACAAACTTTATTGTAGATAATAGTCATTCAAAACAAAAGAATTACACAACCGTTTGGAAATAGCTTTTTATTAATAAAAGATAGAAGCTTACAGCTTATGTTATGATCTTCCTTCTGAATGAAACCTTTAATAATAGCAATGCGTGACTTCGAATCGAAATCAGAACTAATAATTGTGATGCGATGCTAGAAACGAAACACTTAATTTGTAATCTGAATACAGCCGACTTTGCAGATGTATAACGATATATTAGCGCTCAAAAGAAATCATTTTGAAAAAACTAATTTATTATAAGTAGATTTTGAGCTTTTGACACACAATACAACAATATATCTACGAAAAGGCATAGAAATCTAAAATTAGCAATAAATTCAATTTTTATATCATTCAAGAAGAATGAATCATTTTTAACCCATTCTGCTTCTCAACTGCAGACTTTTGGATATTTTTAAGGTATGAGTGGGAGAGCTAAAAATTCGGCAGAAAGTCCGAATCGAAGTGCTAAAAGTCGTTATCAGCGAAAATGGGAGAGAACGAAATCGATATGAAGCTAGCACGACGAATAGCTACCAGAGATGTTCATGACAGGTTTTTTTTGACCCGACCCGTTCGTGATCGAACCCGTCACGGATTACCCGCGGGTTAATACAAATTTTAGAAACGTGAATTTTGACAACATAAACTGTTTAAAAAAAATCACTCATGAGTTGGCTAAACCGTGAAGTGAAGACTGATATTCATAAGACCGGATGAACATTTTTATCGTACAAATTATCAGAAAAAAATGCGCGAAAAAAATGATAAAATAAATGGACGGGAAAAACGTCGATGTTATCTTGTATTTCTATCATCAAGCTTAACAAAACGCACATATACGTGTACACGTTAGGGGTCGGCAAAGTTGACTTTATTGGGCATCGCAATCGGCAATATGAAATGTTTTTGGGATCAGTATCAGAATCATCAGTTTCGATTCCAATTTGGAACGTCTTATTCCTTGATTAACAAGTAATTATAAAGTATTCACGCTAACCTTTGAATTAAACGTATTTGATGCTAAACAGAGCTGGAAGTGTCTTCTTTTGCTGTTTATCAAATGTTTGTTTATATATGTTTCTAAATCACTAGTTCAACTGTTTGTTAAGATGCAGAGAAAAAAGTGCATTATCTTTTATGAAAATGTTACCAATTTCAAAATTGTTGACTGTCGAAATCGAATCGTGTCGGAATTGACAACATAATGTTGCTGGGATCGGAATCGCCTGTTCTTAGTGCATGCTTCGAAACAAGTGGGTGAATAACTAGAATGAAGATGTAGTGAGGACAATGGAAGAAAGACTTCACATGTTAAAGAACCAAAGAAGTAACAAAAAAGAACTAAAACAGTAGAGGAACGAAGGAATAGAATGGATGTTGAGCGTAACTATCTGGGAAACGAAAGAATGAAGAATGAAAAGAAATGACAGGCAAAGTTTGTGAACGGATTAATCCGCGGGTTACATGTAAAACGATAAACCCGACCCGTGAGCCCGTAAATCCATGCAAATATCTGACCCGCAAACTTGTGACCCGTCATAGGTCTAACCCGGGTACGGGTTACGGGTCGGGTCAAAACGGGTCAACCCGTGAACATCTCTGGTAGCTACCACGACGAATTTAGGTGGGCTTAAAATCTATAACGCTGAACGTTGTACGGATAGAAGTTGGGTGAGGGTGCTCGGCAACGTGTACACAAGCATCCGCACCCAGATCCCACCCCCAAAAGTCCAAGTATTCAGGATTTTAGGTTTACCTAAATCCGTCGTGGTAGCTACTCGTCGTGCTAGCTTCACAGCGATGAGAACGAAACTTATTGTGACTCAACCCTTCCCACAACAGATGGCCTGATATCAATCCGTTCGTTCCTTCTCCTTGCCAAAGAAAGGCAAATGGCGGTGTTTCAAAATCCAGTTTCTGTCCAAAGTTACTACGAAGCTGAACACTGTGAAATGACTTCATTCAAATTTATCTATACCAGTGTCATAATTAGCACTTGTAGAAGCTATATTCGTAGCTAAATCAACATCAACTCTATTAGATAAGTGTCAGAGGGTAACGGGTTTAATCAATATTCAGTATATTGACTTTATAAAAAAAATAAATTACCTCAATGGTTTTGCATCCTCATTTTTTTCATAAGCTGATGTACTATTTCGTTGATAATCACATAATAAACTTTCATCATCCGGTTCACATGATGTAATAAGACGACGAATTAATGTTGACATTGGCATACGTGTATATGGATTTGGATATGAAACTATTAGTGTAACTAAAGCAACAACAATTACTTCAATAACTGGATAACGTCCTAAACGTGTTGTTTTTCTTATTTTACACCAGGTAATATTTGATTTAATAAATAAAGCTCCAAATAAACCACCAAGAACACCAAGTAAAATAAATGGCACCAATTCAAAATAAAACCAGCGATATTTATTTCCAACATAAAATAAACCAAGATGTTGATTTTCAAATGGAGATAAAACTTTAACCATTAAAGAAGCAACCATTGCACAAAAAAATGAACGCCATAGAGTTTTTAATGGAAAATAATAGGATACTTCTTCTAAACTAAATAAAACTCCACCTGAAAAGAAAAATTTTTTAGATAATTGATGAAGAAATATATATATATATTCTTATTTTTTATTTAAGAAGATAACTAACCAATTGGTGCACCGAATGCTACTGAAACACCAGCAGCTGCAGCAGCAGAAAGAATTTCTCGTTTTTTTGCTTCATTTTGACCATATTTTGGAAAAAGTCGAGAAAAAATATTACCACAACAAGAACTGCAATGAACAAATGGACCCTAAAAATGAAGTTGATTTCAGTTTATAAAAGAAAAAAAAAACCATTCTTCTTGTGTCGAATTAATAAGATTTATTAACTTTATTACTGTAACTATATCTCTACTCTAAGAAATAAATCAATTGAAATTTTAATAAATACCTCTTTTCCAAGTAATAAATTTGCACTAGTAGCTAATACCATGCCAATACTTTTAATTAACAGTGTCCATGCACCAAAATATCCACGAATGATGAAACCAGACAATATAGTTTTGACTTCTGGTACACCACTACCACATGCGTATGGAGCAAATGTTTTAACAAGTATAGCACATGTTGCCGCAAAACAACAACCTAAAAAGTAATATTCTTAGTTTAACAGAAAAAAATAAAGCAAATCGACTCATATTTACCAAAAAATACATATGCAATATAATTCACAGCATATTTTGCTGCAGCATTGTTAGTAATATGGAAAAGATTTGACCATTCATGCCAATTTGCACAATGAACATGTTGATAATCATCATACGTTTGATTTGATGCTGTCCACTAAATAATATGTCTTGATCTATGCAAAAAAAAGATTTCAATAGGATACACATACACAACAGTGTTCTTGTGATAGATAAAAAGCTGGTAGGCAAACTCCAATTTTTATATTTGTTAACCATACAGCACCAATATCAACCATAGCTGCAATAATACCAATATTAATAGCAATTAGAAGTACACAAAGCCTAGAGAGATTTCAAATGATCATATAATAAGGAATAATTGTCAATATAAATAACAAACCATCCAGAAAAAGCATCATGAAAAGCAACAAAACGTTTCCATAAAGAATCTTTTCGTTGTTCAGTTATAATTTGATGTCGTAAACGATCTCGTGCTTGATCACTTAACCAATCGATTGAAGACCAATCAGCATAATGACTTCCTGGGGATGCAGTCATAGTACTCTTTATAAAAAATTGATTTATATATATATATATATATGTACATATATATGAATGATCCTATTCAATAAAGATTTAACTCACAGATGGTGTATGAAAAAAATCAATTGTTCCTTTTGATTTATCTGCTAAAGATGAAGTATCCGATCCAGCATTAACTGCGATTTCAACTAATGAGTCATCAATACTAGTTGGTTGTGGTCTTGGATGATGTTCTGGTGTTCGTCTTATTCTTAATATATCACCAATTGATTCGAAACTAGGATTTGTTATTGAAGTTAAACGATTTGTTGAAGCTGAAGATCGTTGTGCTGTTTCTTTTACGGATGAAAATAATCGATTAATCCAATTTGCTTCTTTGTTTGTTTCTAATGAATTACTTGCAGCCATTATTTGTTTTTATTGATAATAATGGCTTATTTTTGTTTTGAAAACTATTTGATAATATGCAAACCTTTTTTTGTTTTTCTTTGTTGATGTTGTCGTACTTACTTATTTTGTAACTATTCTGTTGTCATTATCGTTTTCATTTTCTTTTATTTCGTGTATATATGTAAAATAAAAAGTAAACGTAGAAAGACAAAAAGAAAATGAAAGAAGAGAAGCAAATAGATAAAAAACAAAAGATGATGTTGAATAGTGAAGAGATGCAATCTCGTCAATAAACTTTTACGTAAGAAGACATAGCAAATAAACTTAAGTGTATATACAAGATAAATAAAAATTTAATGATAACTTCAACACATGATCATAGCATATATATCCTAGTTTTAATTTTGAATGAAAGATTTTTTTTTTTTGGGCAAATTATTTAATTTGTATGACTTTCAATTGATAATTAGACGTAAACAATAGGAAATGTAATGATATATTGTTAAATTAACGAATAAAATTTTTGTTTATCTTGAATTATTTACATTTTTGAAGTGTTTTTCGTTTTCGTATTTTTTATATGTCACATGTTTATTTTTGATGATTTATCATTCATTCATTTTGTCTTTTATATGATAATTTAACATGTTCGGTTGTAATTGAATATATAAAAAGAATGCTAATGACCTGGAATTCATTCTTATATAAATGGCTTATTTTAAATTTAAATTACTTTTCCGAGATTAGATAACAGAAAATAACAATGCGTAGATTCCCTTAAGATTATAGATATCTTATCATTTTCTGCTTTCATTCTTCATAAGTTACTTGTAATTAATAGTATATCTCTTGAGGCCCTATCATGGGTAGAGGGTTAAATAAGCCGTCAATAAGGAAATACTAATATCTAGTAAAAGAACACAACAGACAAAAAAAGCTAACATCAAACTATCGATTAATTTCCTATGCAGGTATATCAGTACATAAAGATCATAGAATCTATTATAACATGTAAAACAAAACTATAATATACTATCAAAAACTTGTTATAGCGCCACTGCATTAGAGTTGAAATACCGAACTCAGATACATTTTCGCATATTAAGCTTTGCCTCATTATTCATAGTGCATATATTAGTACCTTTATTCTACACTGTTTCCTTTGCTTGCTTTTCTCTTTGATGTTTAAGTTTCATTCAATGTTATTCGCTATATAAATCTCTTATTAACTACGAGTGACAAAAATATTGAAATGATTAATTTGCACTTGCGGTTGCTCTACGAAAACTTATTAAATGACCTTCAACTCCAGTTGCTGAAGTCGATAATGGGGACGAGGATTGAGAGTTATGATACTTTGACTTGAAACTTACACCCACTATTTTCTTCGAAAATATATGTGAGCTCCATAAGGTCCACCAGGAAAGTTTATGTAAATAATTCTTGAACATTTCAAATGATTTAATTGCTTTTTATAAAAATAATATAGTATATTTGTTTAAGTTTTATTTCATAACATTCGGTTTTCAATAAATGTTCAAAATGATTGCCATCAACTGAAATACATGAATCCATTCTTCTCGAAACCCTTAAAAGAGATACTGTAGAAAGTTTATTTTCATTATCAGTTCTTATTTCGAATTCAATCAAATCTTTATATATAAATATATATAACCCTTATGAGTTATTCAGATAATTTTTCACTTTATATTTATCGACAAAACTATTTAAATGAAAAGAAATTTCATCCGAAAAAAACCTAGTTCTTTTGATTGTTGATATTTTGTAACATTAATATCAAAATTTGACAAACTCAACTCGATTGTATGAATCTTCTTTGTGAAACTGTCGGATAAATTATACCTTGTATGAGTTCATTGAGTCATTCATTTTCACAAACATCATTAACTTCATCGATTCTCTCTTTTGTAATTATTCGAAGTCTTTCAGACTGTTGCCCGTTTACTACTAAAGTGATTTCGCAAAAACGTTGAAAAACATCTCTAGTATAGTCTATGGAGAAATTTGAGACACATAGACACCTATATTTTGGTCTATAATCTTAAGCTAACTCTTCGTAGACTCAATGTGTCTCTTTGACATTTTTACTGTGAGGTAACCAGCTTGAGATACACCTCCGATGAAAATTTCATCAAGATCAGATGCTCGAAAAAGAAGTCTTTTTAGAGTACTCCTTAAGATTTCACCCGTCGAAAGCCACCCTCGGGCTAGGTATATTCAAACCGCATGAAATTTTCAGGATATGTTGTGATTATGTATAGAGGAGAAGCTGTGGTAGAATGTTTAGCTCTGTATTGTGACGTTTTCGAAAGATATTCAACAAGCAAGGCTCAAACATAGTTCATTTGGCAACCTAAAATTATTTGTAAGCCTTCCTTCTATAGACTTGATTTGATTTTTTCTTTGAAAGAGAATGTTATGATGCTAGACATGACAAAACTGTTTTTTTTTTAATTCTTGCTCCTTAAGGAGCAAAAAGTTTAACATCTCGAACGTCTTTCAAAACATGGCACTCTAATTATAAAAGTACTTTCTCATAGAATGTTAATAAAGTTTGGCTCAAAAAAGAGACTTTGACATGCCCTGTATCTTGACACGCTCTTTCAAACAAAATAAAGCTATGGGCTGTAATGCATCTCCTTCAAGAGTTCTGGAATGCGGGATCAAAAAAACATAAATATCGAAAAAACAAAAAAAAGATTATTCATTTTATCTGAAAATAAAACATATTTTTCAAGTAGAAAATGATTGAAATTTTTAGAAAGAAAAAAAGATGCTAAATAAAAAAACTCATGTCGTTTATGAAAGATCAGATCCCGAGCTCTCTTCCCATATATTTATCTTAATTTTGATAATTCTGACGAAACTCGACTTTTTTTTTAGAAGGCTTAAATCAACATGAATTTGAAAACGCTAAGAGCACTTGAAGTAAGTAGATGATGTTAAAATTAATTTTACTTGGTTATTATTAAGAGTGAATATACATCTTCATACTTTATTGGAATCAACATCGTTTATTTTTCTTCCTCTTCACATTTGCCGTTATTGTTGAAATATGTTTCCAATTTAGTTATGTGTCTTTTGATGGATTACAAATGGCTCATCATAGTAAAACTTTTGTCACAAAAGTTTTTGTTATTTAATAATCTATTAATCCGACATATCAATCAGCTAATGCATCCCATGAGTTCTTTATAATCTTATCAGAAGTTTTTTTTTTTTTTTTTTTTTTAATAATTGGTATTGTTTCCTTTCAATCGTACAATTAAATGAAATTGTCGAGAGAATTTATTCACATGGCACAAACATTAACTAGATAGAAGTTTATTACGTAATATCTTCAAAGCAAGAATTTGACTCTTTCCTGAATGTTTTAAGTTTCTATTTATAAAAATAAAATTAATAAATATTGTTAGAAAAAGTATCAATTTGAAATTCAATACAAAAAAATGAAGGTTTTTCCAATTCATAAAAAAATTGCTTGTATTTTTTTTTATTTCAACAGTTCATTTTCTTATTCTAGACTTTGAATATTTCACTTCCTCAAATGATGCTTTATGAGCATTTTTTTATTTAAAAAAAAAGAAATTCACTTGTATTAAATCTAGTTATCATGATGACCATTAAATTCACTCGTTTTCTTAGTTTATTGATTTCTCGATGTACAACAAACAAACTGCTTTAAACAAACTTCTCAATGATCTTCGCTCTCTAAAAGAAATATCAAATAACTGTTTACAAAAGTAACAATATAGAATTTAAAAAAAAAACTTTAAATTATTTTCATGACCAGAAAAAACCTTGATTTTATATCGGGGTCAAAAGAAATCATTTTTAGCATTATCTATGGGCTCTATTTTCTATGAAAGAGATGCTCTCCATTATTAATACGAACAGAAAAGAAAATACGAGCTCATTTCGTGAAAATATTATGAAGATATAAATTTTTCTTTTTTCTTGCTTTCGTAGATATTCTCTAAAATAAAATGTAAATGATTCTATAGTTAATTCTTAGTGTTCAATTTTTCCTTTGTTTGCCATCATGTATCATCTACTGTGATATGATGATATTGATAAACAAGTAGGATCAAATTTTCTTTGTGTTATAGCATGATACTTTATATCCTTTCAAAATGTTGTTGACTCTATATGGATTAACACACAATGAAAATAACAACCAATAGAATTGCCACAAGATTATTTTAATTTTAATGCGGATTACAACATAATATACATTCAGGCTTGAATAAAAATACTTTTACGCGAAGTAGAAAACAAGTTTTCCTTTTTTAATTGTTATATTCCTTTTCTTATTCTATTAAAATATTATATAATCGTATTTATATCATTGAAATTATGTTATACATTGTAATTCGTCTTTTCTTATATTTTAATGAAAGTTTGTCGAATAATAAAGAGTCGAAAAATGACGAAATTCTAAAGTTTTGTTATTTTCAATAAAATTGATATTTTCAAAAGAAATATTCTATAATGAATGAAATATGACGAGTTTTTCTAATTTTATTTTTGTTTTGAATATATAGTCAATAATTGTATATATCACGTTTCAAGAAATAACATTTGACAACCGTGACCACAATTTAAGAATGATATTTGAAATATGAAAAGTCTTTGTCACGTACAACGATGTAATGACGTGTGTTCTGTTCTATATATGATAGTAATTTTCTCTTAATTTACAGAGAATAAAATTGGACAAAATGAATACCGAAAAATCCTCAGCATTGATTTGTTTTTTACATCTTTCATAAAACTACGACATTATTATTAATGCCTATGGCACTACCCATTGAGTAAAATATTCATTCCGCTTAATTAAATATTTGTTATTAGATGAACTCGACTAGAATAACATGGGTTCTTCTTAGCGAAGAAATAGGAAAAAAATATAATTCAATACGATGAATACTGAATATGAAAATGTGTTAAGTAAATTTAAAAAAAAATATTCTATTAAATTAGGATATAAATAAACA